GTGCAGCCGAAGCCCGGCTGCAAGCTGGTGGACCCTTGCCGGGCGGAGGGCCCGCAGGAGACACAGAAGGTGTCGCAGAAGATCATCGAGGGCAAGACGCCAACTCCCACGGAGGTGATCAACTACTTCAACGGCGAGTTGAAGAAGCGCATTTGCTTCTTGGACGGCGGCATGGGAACACGGATCCAGGCGGAGAATCTGCAGGAGGAGGACTACCGTGGCGATCGGTTCAAGGACTTCAGCGAGAAGGACGCCAACGGTATCCCAGTGTCCCTGAAGGGCAACAACGACCTCCTCATCTTCACGAAGCCAGACATGGTCAAAGACATCCACAAGGAGTACTTCCTTGCTGGCTCGGACATCTGCGAGACCAACACCTTCAATGGCACCACGGTCTCGCAGGGTGAGTACAAGATGCAAGCCATTGTGCACGAAATGAACAAGGTGGGAGCACAGCTGGCCAAGAAGGCGGCAGCAGAGGTCACAAAGGAAGAGCCACACAAGCCCCGATTTGTGGCAGGTGCAGTGGGACCCACCAGCCGCACGCTGAGCGTGTCGCCAAGCGTGGAGGATCCCTCCTTCCGCAACGTGACTTGGGATGAGCTGGTTGATGCCTACAAGCAGCAGGTCAGCGGCCTTGTTGAGGGTGGAGTGGACCTGCTGATGATCGAGACGGTCTTCGACACACAGAACTGCAAGGCTGCCATCTTTGCAGTGGACCAGTACTTCCTGGAGGCGAAGACGGAGCGGCTGCCTGTGATGCTGAGCGCCACCATCGTGGACAACAGCGGCCGCACCTTGTCTGGGCAGACCATCGAGGCTTTCTATGTCAGCGTGAAGCATGCCCAGCCATTCACCGTTGGAATCAACTGCGCCCTGGGTGCTGCGCAGATGAAGGGCTTCTACAAGAAGCTGGCGGACATGAACGCGGGGTGGTGCCATGTCTACCCCAACGCTGGCCTACCCAACGCCATGGGTGGCTACGATGAGGACCCCGAGATCTTCTCCGACAACATCCTGGACTACGCCAAGGACGGCATCCTGAACTTTGTGGGAGGCTGCTGCGGCACCTTCCCGTCGCACATCAAGGCCGTTTGCGATAAGGTGAAGAGCTGCCCGGTGCGCACTCTACCGGAGTTGCCCAAGTACCCCAGCATGATGCTCTCTGGGCTTGAGCCATGCAGCGTGGACAAGGAGGCAGGCTTCCAGTGGGTCGGCGAACGCTGCAACCTCATGGGCTCAGCCAAGTTCAAGAAGTTGGTGGATGCCTACAAGTGGGATGAGGCCATGGAGGTCTGTGTTGCCCAGTGCGAGAAGAAGGCGGACATCTTGGATTTCAACTTCGACTCGGACCTCATCGATGGCCAGTCCGCCATGAGCAAGTTCATGAGGCTCTGCGTCACGGAGCCTACAGTCGCTCGGCTGCCCTTCATGATCGACTCCTCGAAGTGGCCCGTGGTGGAAGAGGGCTTGAAGTGCGTGCAGGGCAAGTGCATTGTGAACTCCATCTCCCTGAAGGTTGGTGAAGAGGAGTTCCTGCGCCAGGCAAAGCTTTGCATGCGCTATGGCGCCGCCGTAGTCATCATGGCCTTCGATGAGAAGGGCCAGGCCGCCACCTTCGAAGACAAGGTTCGGATCTGTCAGCGCAGCTACAGGTGCCTGCGCGAGAACATCGACTTCCCGCCAGAGGATATCATCTTCGACTGCAACGTGCTCACGATTGCCACGGGCCTGCCCGAGCACAACTCCTATGGCATCGACTTCATCAACGCCGTGGCGGAGATCAAGCGCACCTGCCCATGCGTCTCCTTTTCCGGAGGCCTCAGCAACCTGTCTTTCTCCTTCCGCGGCCTCAACTCCCTCAGGGATGCCATGCACAGCGTCTTCCTCTACCATGCCGTTCCGAAGGGCCTGAACATGTCCATCGTGAATCCAGGAGGCGTGTTTGCATGCACAGCATGGCTTCGGAAGCATTTGGAAGCATGCCATGTGTGCCCACTTCCAGCAAGGCCTTCCCCGCTACACCGACATTGATCCCAACACGCGCAAGTTGGCAGAAGAGGCCTCGTGTCCGCGTGGCCTTGCAAGCTACAGGAAGGAGTATGGGCGAATGGGGTGAGAATGTCCTAGAGTGTCTTGTCAGCCAGGTGATCCTGAATCAATCCGCTGATGGCAAGCACGTCGGGGACTCTGGCTGCAGCATTTGCGGCGACTCTTTTGAGCAAGAGATGAAAAATTGAGGTGGAGCGCTTCCTAGAGTTTGCGGAGGCCTGTCACCAGAAGGGAGCACCGCGGTAAGGCGCAACCAAAGCATAAAGCCACGCTGCATGCCTGCGCCAGGCTGTGCGCAAGCCGGCGCCAACTGCGGCAGCTGCGGGCGCCGCCCCGGCCAAGGCCAGAGTCTCGGAGCCTTGTGAGAGCCGTGACCTGTGGTCATGCTGAGTCCTAAGCTACAGGATGCCTGGCGCAGCGGCACCTACACGGAGCGCCTGCACTACGGGCAGCGGCCGCAGATTGCACTGTAGCCCATCGCCCACAGCAGCCTTGAGGGCTTAGCCTTAGCTCGTAGGTTGGTTAACGGCATCGACAAGTTCATTGAGCAAGACACAGAGGAGGTCTCTGCTAGACCTAAGACAGCCAGCGGGCTGATCTTGGCTGTGTTTGTGTGAGGCCCGTGCAGATTTGAACGTGCCCCTCTATGTCATTGAGGGCCCGCTGATGCAAGGCGCGTGTACGGTTCCTTGGCCATCTGGTCTGCACCGTACTGCGAGATACTGCGAGGCATGGGCATCATCGGAGACCTCTTCGGGGCAGGCAAGATGTTCTTGCCGCAGGCCCGTGATCTTGTCGCGGCCTGTTTGATCTTCGCTTCTCTCAGCCTTGCTCAGCCTCGGCAGCACATGTTGCAAAATCCTGCAGTGCTGCAGGTCATCAAGAGTGCCCGAGTCATGAAGAAGGCAGCGTGCACAATGACAAGCTGCCTGAGGAGATACGCAGTGATGCGTGCCGCATTTGGCGCTGATAGGCCGTGGCTTACCTCACCCCCTTCATGGAAGAGGAGAGACGAGCAGCTGTCCGGTCCCCAGCACGTGAAACAAACAAGACACTCGAGGCTCTGGGCATTCTTGACGCCCAAGTTTGAGATAGTTTGCAACGTTTGACTGAGGCCCTCGCTAACAATGAGGACCCCGACCAGCCCAAGTACAACGGCGTTGTGCTGATGGCACGCCAGGGTTCTGCATGACCGATGCACAGAAATGCAACATGGGAAGGCATGCTGTCATGCTGTGACTGGCGGCTAGGCAACGGTGAAGGGAGACGTGCATGACATTGGCAAGAACATTGTGGGCGTCGTGCTGGGCTGCAACAACTTCAAGGCCGAGGGCATGAAACGGAAGTTTCTGAGCCTATGGCGCAGATCAGGTAGTCGACATGGGTGTGATGGTGCCCTGCGAAAACATTCTGGACAAAGCCGTTGAGGACGCATAAAGTTGTACGAAGCACAGCACATCAAAGGTTTGGGAACGGCTGATCCAAACGAGCCTGCAAGCTGCAAGCAGCTCGCAGGAGAAGGTGGACGTCATCGGGCTCTCCGGGTGCGCCTTTGCTCAGGGGCGGCTTGACAGACATGACCCTTGACCATCAAGGTTGATCACCCCGTCCCTAGACGAGATGGTCTACGTGGCCGCCCTGGCCTCAAATCTGCAAAGCTCCCCTTTCCCGGCAGTTGAAGCGTCTTCGAGCCACATACTTGCTGAATTTATTGGGCTTGCAAGGAGCAGATGAAAGCCCGCGGCATGAAGGCGCCTGCGACATACGGGCTGCTGGCTGCAGTGTGCTGACAGTGCCAGCAGGTGCCTTTGATGATCGGCGGCGCCACCACATCCAAGCGACACACCGCAGCGCACTCAGCGCCTCACGAGTTTCTGCGTTATCTGCACACATCTCTACGACCTTTGTCTGAAGGCCGTGAAGATCATCCCCAAGTACGATAACGGAGTGATCCACGCCGCTGCCCAAGTCTGGCACCACCGCCGCACCAGCAGAGCGGTCTCTCGGCAGGTGCTGGACGCAAGCAGAAGCTGCACCGTGGTCAGCGCCCTCATGCTGGAAGCTCAGACCTCTCAGACCGAACCGCACAACTCTGTGGAGGTCCATGCGGTTGGTTCCAGGGGCTGCTTCACTTGTGACAGCACTCGTACTCGTACCTGACGACTGAGGTCGGCAGACAAGCAAACGTACCTTGATGAGATCAAAGAGGCCTTTGCGTTGCGCAGCACTGGCCCCGGGATGGTGCAACGAACGTTGTCAGGAGTACTCTGAGATCAGGGACGAGTATTATGCCACCTTGGTTGACAAGAAGTGGAAGTCGCTAGCCGAGGTCCCCTCGAAGGAAGACAGAGAGCACAGACCTGACCAGTCTGTTGAGAGGCGCAAAAAAAGAAGCCGGAGCTTGATTGGAACAAGCTGCCGCCCAAGCCGTGTTGCCGGCACGGCTACAGCGGCTACAGCTCTTCTTGAGGGCATTCACTATAAGCATCATGAATCATGAGAGCAGTCCGGGCCAGGAAGTTCGTGGGCAACTTGTGCATCAAGGCACGTAGCGACGAAAACCGACACCGAGCGATGTGGAGCTATATCGCAGCTGGTCAAGGACCATCCCATCGATGAGATTATGGAGTACATCGATTGGACTCCATTCTTCCAGGTCTACTCTAGTGTCAGTGACTAGATGTGATCAGCAAACTGCAGCTTACAGAAGTTGGCAGGTGTACCAGCTGCGCGGCAAATATCCGAACCGTGACTACCCGCACATCTTCAAGGCCGATAGAGGCCGACACTGGTCAGGTCTATGCCGGTTCCAGTTCATCTCAGGATGAGCGCGTCGGCCCGGAAGCCAAGAAGCTTTTCCAGGAGGCGAAGGACATGCTGGCACGAGCCTCTGTGCTTTGTGGCCTGTGCTTCTTGCCAGCAAGTGGTGGCAGTGGTGGCCATTGACATGCGTTGAAGGCATGGATTGTGAAGGAAGGGCTCCTGAAGTGCTCAGGCACAGGGATGCACGGGGCATGCGAATGCCTGCAGAACAGCCAGCTCAAAGGGTTTGGACCTGTAGGAGTCGTGGGCATCCATCCTGCCAACGCCGTCGGCGACGACATCGAGGCCGGTGCTGGGACCGGGACAGTCCTCGGAGAGTTGGCTGGGAGTGGGGGCGAGAAAGAGTCCCGATGAAGGTCTACACCAATGAGAACCGGGACACTGTGAAATGCAAGTTCTACGGGCTGCGCCAGCAGCTGGACATGGGCGAGTCAACATATTGGTGCCAGGGTGACTTCATTGCCCCCAAGGAGCAGAGCCAAGGGTGCATGGGGTGAT